GGACTCGCATCGCGTGGCGCACGCGCGCGCTGGCGGAGAGCGTTTCCGTCCCGTTCCTGCCATTATCTAGAAACGGCACAATAGAGGAAATGGGGCGTGTTTCTTTTTCTCTTTGCCCTGAATGAAGTAGTCTCGTAATTTTTTTTCATTTTCGAGACGCAGTTCCGTGTGTCGTCTGCACGCTATGTGCACCTGTAGCGTTGTCATTTAGTCTTTAAACCTCACGAATGTATGCAGTAGTCGGATCACCTTACCAGCGTTTCTCGTTATCTCTGTGTACAGTTTCGTATTTTTGCTTATCCCTTTGAGAGTTAGCTGGGATGGTTCACCCCGAAATACCTAAATACTAAATAATTCAGCATTCCACATGAGCACAATGGAGTTATCACATCCGAAGAATTGAACGTCTCTGATACATGTATACTTAATTACAGTCCATGTTTTTGTTTTTCTGAGAGAGAGGTTTTTGTTATAGGGCATTTGCACTTAGCAGAGAGGGGAGAGAGAGGCAGGCAGAAGGACAAATCACCCCCCGGGCCCATGGACACACTGCCATCCTTCTCCCTTCTCCTCTGGGGATTTTGGGCATGCACACATGACTGAGTTTTAAGCTGCCAGGTCCGGGACTGGAACCGCTGTCAACTATATGGGAGTCCAGCGATGTAACCATTATACCACCTGCAGGTCCCCTGTATGTTCTTAATTGCCCTTTAAATGTGTTTCCTCCTCATTCAGTCAAAAGCATGGGTTCCATTTACTGGTCATATTCCCCCCCCCAGGTTTTTGCTATAGGGTGCTGCGCTAGCCAGACAGAGGGAGACAAAGACAGAAATCGAGAAATCACCCCCCAGGGGGAATGGCCATGCCACAGTCCCTTCTCCTCTTGAGATCTTGGGCATTGGGCATGCATGCACATGCACCCGGCGTGAGTTTAAGCCAGGTCTTGAACCACAGTCGACTACTTGGGAGTCCAGCAACATAGCCATTACACTAACTGCTGGTCCCAACTGGTCATATTTCTTTAGTCTCTTTTAATGTACAACGGTTCTCCTCTTCTCTGTTTTTTCTTTGTCTTTTTTACATTTTTTTTTAAGAATTATTTTATTTAACTTTATTTATTTATTTTAACTTGACCAGAGGGGAACAGACAGAAAGTGAGAAAGCAAGCCACCAGGTGTGGGACTCGAACCATGCTCAGCCATGTGGGAGCCTGGTGCCATTAACCACTACACCACCTGCCGACCCTGACGCTGATGGTTTTCAAGAGTCCAGACCTGTTGTTTTGCACAATACTCCTTAAATTAAAGTTGTCTGGCTTTTTTTCCCCACATGACTAGATTCATGTTAAACATTTTGTCAGGAATATTACATACGTGGGATTGTGCCCTTTGATTGCTTTATACGCATCAGGAAGCATTTCGTGTTGAATTATTCCATTGTCAGAGAATTTGAGTTTGTCTACTGGCCCCAAAGTTTGATTACTTGGGCAAGATGGTGTCCACCAGCTCCTTAAAACTTTTCTTTTTCCTTTTAAGGTTTTTGCTATAGGGCGCATGTGCTGGCCAGAGACAGACAGTGAGAGGGAAGGTGAGAAATCACCCCTGGGGAGATGACCATGCCGGAGTTTCTTCTCCATTATCCTGGGATTTGGAGCATGCATGCACAAGTGCCCAGCTGCTCCTCAAGCTGCCAGATCCGGGACTCGAACCTCTGGTGGCCATATGAGAGTCCTGCTCCCTAACCACCGTGCCACCTGCTGGCCCCTTAAAACTTTTTTTATTGGGAATCAGCAGATGACGTAGTGGTTATGTTGGTAGACTCCCACATGGCTGACCGTGGTTCAAGCTCTCAACCCGGTGGCTTGGAACTCATACCAAGCATGTATGTGTGCGCGCGGCACGTGCATGCGTCTAAGGTCCCAGGGAGAGTATGGAGGAGAATGGATTATGGCGTGGCCATCCCCCTGGGGGTGATTTCTCGCTTTCCCTCTCACTGTCTCTCTAGTGAGTACACATGCTCTGTAGCAAAACCTCTTGATACCTTTTTTCTTGTATGATGAGATGCGTGTGTATACGTGTATGAAATGAAACAGCCCAGTGATCATAAAGGGAGCATCCTAGCAAGTTTGGAAGGCAGTGTTGCAAAATTACATTTTTTTTTTAATACTTATTCATTTAATTCCATTTGTTATTATTTTTTTTAATCTGAACAGAGAGAGAAAGGGAAAGTGAGGAAGCAGACTGCCAGGTTCAGGACTCGAACCGTGATCAGCCATGTGGGAGTCCAGCACCCTTAACCACCATGCCACTTGCTGGTCCTGCAAAATTACATTTGAAAGTGTCTTATGGAGCTTGAGAATTCCCAGAGAAACTGAGCACAGTGAGCTAGATTCACGCCTCCACCTGACCCCTGCTAATCCTGTAACCTTAGAGGGCTCCCTGTGGTGGGTCTGAAGACAGCAAACCTGATGCAGGTTTCATATTTCTCAAATTCCCTGCACGTGGTACAGAAATAGGCACCGAAACATTCCGAAATCTCGGCCCAGCCGCTGGGGTGGTGGTGAAGGCGGCCAGGTCCCATGCGGCCAGCTGCAGGGTTGCAATCTCAAACTGGAGCTTGCAGACATGCACAGAACCCGAGAGGAGGAGAAACTGTGGCGTGGCCATCCTCCCTCCCCGCGATGGGAGCAGTTTCTCACTGCGTGTGTGTGCGTGTGTGTGTGTGTGTGTGTGTGTGTATCCAGCGAGGGCAAATGCTGAGTTTCAAAGTCAATTTAAGGGAAACAGCGACCATATTTCTAAATTCAAATAGGAAACAGTCAAGACCATCATCACACACAGTAACGGCAGTACTTGGTGTGCGAAGCTTTCGTTCGCCACTGTGCGTTTGTATTGTCCTTCATGTTAGATTTGCGTGCATTTTAGTCAGGAAGTGTAAAAGACCCTTTAGAATTTAGGTGAGACGCTCTTTCTGCCATCCTGGAGCCTGTACAGGTCTGCTGGGAACAGGACTTCTAAACAGCAGCTATGTCTGCAAGGCTGTGGTCCAAGGCCATTTTTGCTGGCTATAAGCAGGGTCTCAGGAACTAAAGAGAGCACACAGCTCTTCTTAAAGTGGAAGGTGTTGGGACCAGCAGTTAGCATAATGGCTATGTCGCTGGACTCCCATGTAGTTGACCACGGTTCGAGTCCTGGACCCGGTGGCTTAAAACTCACGCCAGGCACGTGTGCGTGCATGCCCAAGATCCCGAGAGGAGAATGGAGGAGAAGGGATTGCGGCATGGCCATCCCCCCTGGGGGGTGATTTCTCGCTTTCTGTCTGTCTCTGTCTGGTGAGTGCACGCGCCATATAGCAAAAACCTCTCAAAAAAAAAAATTGAAGGTGTTTATGCACGAGATGGGATGGAATTCTATTTAGGCAAACAACGTAGTGGCTCCTGGTGGCAAACCAAATAAAACCAGAGTCATCTGGGGAAAGGTTACCCATGCCCATGGAAATAGTGGCATGGTTTGAGCCAAATTCCAAAGCAACCTTCCTGCTAAGGCCATCGAACACAGAATCCGTGTGATGCTGTATCCCTCAAGGATTTAACATAATGAAATGTAAATGAATAAACGTGGACTTATGTTGTAAAAAAATACATAAATAAAAAGAATTTAGGTAAGACATGTGATAATGGAAAAACAGATTTTAGGCTCTTCGATGGTAGTGGACCAGTCAAGGGGAGAGCAGCAAAGGGAAAGACAGAATGAGGAGAAACGGGAAGGGAAGGCTGGGGGTGTTAATCTGGGCCAGCGACCGGGGTGACGCTTGTGAAGGAGCTCACCCCGGAGGAAGAGTCGAGCTCGGAGCAGCGGGTTCCAGCACGACCCACCTGGCAGCCATTGTGTGCGCACGAGGCACGAGGCGTGCCGGGCCTTCCTGTCCGTGGGGAACTCAGCCGTAGACCAATGACCGAGTTGATGGCGACTGTCCCGTGGTTTCACACTTCTCCTTTAAAAGGTTTATTTCGTCCGCAGTGGCTTTGTGTGACGCCTTCAGACTCAGCTCTGAGACCTGCCTATTCCAACGTATTTTTCTAAGAATAGGCATCGAGGGTCTCTTGAGAGCAATTAGTTTTTATTTAACGTTCTTTTTAAAATAGCTGGAGCCCGCATTACATGTGCTGAAGGGCACAGACGATTGTAGTTAAGTTTCTGATCAAATGTTTTTTCTAATTATTTTTGTTTGCTTGCTTTTGTGTATTTATTTATTTTATTTATATTTTGGAGAGGTTTTTGCTACAGGGCGCGTGCACTCTCCAGAAAGACAGAGAGAGACAGAAAGCGAGAAATCACCCCTCAGGGGGGATGGCCACGCAGCAATCCCTTCTCCTCCATTCTCCTCTCGGATCTTGGGCACGCACGCACACGCGCCCGGCGTGAGTATAAGCCATCGGGTCCGGGACGTGAACCGCGGTCAACTGCATGGGAGTTCAGGGACATAGCCATTAGGCCACCTGCTGGTCCCATGTTCTTAGTGTTTGCTATAGGGTGTGTGTGCTCGTGGTAGAGTGGGAGGAGTGAGAAATCACCCCTTGGGAGATGGCCACACCACAATCCCTTCTCTCCCATTCTCTCAGGATCTGGGGCACGCACACATACGTGCCTGGCATCATTTTAAAGCTGCTAGGTTCGGGACTTGGACCACACAGTTGATTTTGTGGGATCCAGTGCCTTGAGCACCATGCTAACCTCTGATTATTTTTCACATGTCACCCGGCCTTTTCTGTTTACTTGGATACTTCTTGTGCTTTCCATGTCACAACCACAGGCCGTTTGGATTTGTCATGGAGCCTGTAAGTGAGATAGTTCATTGCTGCAGAGTGTTCATTTGACGATCTAAAAAACAAACGTCGTGAAGTTGGTGTAAGACCTTTTACGTAGGAGTACAGCTGCATCTGTCTAATCTTGACGACATCATTTGCAGGCATAGTTTAATACTTTCCTTTTTAAATGTAGCAATTCCTGATGACCAATAAGCTGGACACGGCGATGTGGCTCTCCCGCCTGTTCACGGTGTACTGCTCCGCTTTGTTCGTCCTACCTCTTCTCGGGTACGTACGGCCTGGCCTCCTACCTGTGACAGTCAGATATTCAGTCCGCTCTTAGGGAATGCCTGTGGGTGTCAGAATTGGAAAACCTTACACCGTTTAGGGACGAGGGCAACTCAAGTCCCATCCTTAAGGCACTAGAATAACCCAGTAGTATCTTCAGCGGGAGGACGATCGTTTATCTTGTGCTTTGTGAAACTACGGTCATAGTAAACATTTTAAGGAAAAAATTAATATGCGGGGCTGAGGAGTTCACGTTTGCATCTTGCCTTTAACTAGACAGGAAGGAAGCACTGCTTTGGCCAGTTCGGCTGGGCTTATACATAGGCAGTGAGGCTTCCAGGAAGAGACTGGCTTCAAGGGTTCATTTTTTTCCTATGGACACTTAAGTGATTTAGGTGTTGTGCAATTATGATGCAATTCACAAAGGAGGAAGAGACGAAGCAGTTGTTTATGTCTCAAGATAATCCGTCCTCTGGTAATTTGCAGGTTGCATGAAGCAGCGAGCTTCTACCAGCGGGCTTTGCTGGCGAACGCTCTTACCAGCGCTCTGAGGCTGCATCAGAGACTCCCACACTTCCAGCTGAGCAGAGCGTTCCTGGCCCAGGCCTTGCTAGAGGACAGCTGCCACTACCTGCTGTACTCACTCATCTTCGTCAACTCCTATCCCGTCACAAGTATCCTTTCCTGGTTTTCTTTACATTCCAGTCGCCAAGTAAGGCTGTAGGAAACCTCTGGATTCTTTTCTGCTGCAGGAACGACTCAGCAATGAGGGTTTTCCATAAAGCGTGGGTTGGTTCGTTGGCACTTCATTTGAATGGAGATATGTTTAGTGTAAGAATTTCTGACTCTGTAACGTGAGAGCTAAACTTTAAAGAGCTGAGTTGGGGAACTGGCAGGTGGCGTGGTGGCTAAGGCGCTGGACTCCCATGTGAGTGATTGCGGTTCAAGTCCCAAACCTGGTGGCTTGTTTGCCTACTTACCCTGCCCCTGTCTGTCTCTGGTCAAACTAAAAAATAATAATAATAAAATAAAATACAATAATTCTTTTTGTTTAAGATAGAGATTTTTGCTATAGGGCAGGTATGCTCACAGGAGACAGAGAAACAGAACGCAAGAAATCATCCTGGTGGAATGGCTACACCGCAATCCCCTCTCCTCTCAAGATTTTGGGCACGCATGTACATGTGCCCAGTGTGAGTTTTAGGGTCCGGGACTCAAACTGTGCTTCACTGCATGGGAGTCCAGTGATGTAACCATTACACCATGTGGTGGTCCCCAAATACAATAATTCTTGGGGAAAACGAAGAGCTGAGTTGGAAGTTTTAAGCTTTGTCTATCTTTGTTCTTGCCTCTTCTATGCTTCTGAATCAGCAACAGATGTTTTAAAATTTAGATTGAAGCATAGCCTCCAAGGACTTACTTTACTATTTAAATGTTTCTTTTATTTATTTTATTTTTTGGAGAGATTTTCACTGTAGGGCGCGTGCGCTCGCCAGACAGACAGAGAGAGACATAGAGACAGAAAGCGAGAAATCACCCCCCAGGGGGGATGGTCATGCCGCAATCCCTTCTCCTCCATTCTCCTCTCGGGATCTTGGGCACGCACGCACACGCGCCCGGCGTGAGTTTTAAGCCACCGGGTCCAGGACATGAACCGCGGTCGACTACGTGGGAGTCCAACGACATAGCCATTACGCTAACTGTTGGTTCCCAATGTTTCTTTTATTTTTTTAAGAGAGATTATTGCTATAGGATGTGTGCGCTCGCCGGAAAGACAGAGGCAAAGAGACAGCAAGAAATCAACCCCCAGGGAGATGGCCACACCACAGTCCCTTCTCCATCATTCTCCTCTCTGGATTTGGGGCCATCAGGTCCAGGACCCAAATCACGGTTGACTGTGTGGGAGTCCATCAGCATCACCATTATACCATCTGCCAGTCCTAAATTCTTTTATTTTTATTTAATTCACTTTTTTCTTTTTATTTTTGTCTTTTTCAAGGTTTTTGCCATAGGGTGGGCGCACATGCCAGAAAGAGACAGTGAGAGGGAAAGTGAAAAATCTGCCCCAGAGGGATGGCCATGTTGCAGTCCCTTTTCATCCATCCTTCTCCTGGGATTTGGGGCAGTGACGCACACATACCCAGCATGAGTTTTAAGCCGCCAGGTCCAGGATTTGAGCAGTGGTCGGCCATGTGAGTGTCCAGTGCCTGAACCACTATGCCACCTCCTGACCCAAGAGTATCTGTATTTTTAAAATTTAACTGTGTGTGTGTGTGTGTGTATGTGTAGATCATCTTTCAGGAAATTATTTTGTGCTTTAAGAGGTGCTGCTGTAAGAGCTTTTGAATATCTATTATTGCAGCCAGCAAATGGCATAACGGTTACTTTACTGGACTCCCACATCATCAACTGCAGTTTGAGTCCTGGACCTGGTGACTTGAAAAATCTCACCGGAAGTGTGTGCGTGCATGCCCAAGATCTTGGGGGGAGAATGGATTGCAGCTTGGCCATCCCACCTAGAGGATGATTTCTCACTTTCCCTTTCACTGTCTCTGCCTCTCTTTCTGGTGAGCACACACACCCTAAAAAGAAGAATGTATGTATATTTCTGACCCAACTGTACACGGTGGAAGGCACAATAAAATACTTATTTAAGACTAAGTATTATTACCTATTGATAATGCCTGTGTTTCTGAAGTATCAAATTTAAAATAACTTCCTGTAAGTCTGAAAGAAAATAGGAGGAAACTGACATTTCTTGAGGAACTTTCTTTGCCAGTATATAGGAATTTGACATATTCAATCATAGTACTCTGAAAAAAATCATCATTAATGCTACTCAGCGTCCAAATCCTTAGGACATACACACACACTGACTA